GGGCTCAGGCAATCCACTCGCCTCGACCTCCCAAAGTGCTGGGATGACAGGCTGAGTCACTGAGCCCAGCTATATTTTCTTTAAAAACTAATAAGCTGGGTGCAGTGGCTCACACCTGGAATCCCAGCACTTTGGGAGACAGAGGCAAGAGGACTGCCTGAGCCCACGGGTTGAGACCAGCCTGGGCAACATGGCGAGACCACGTCTCTACAATAAATAAAAAAATTAGCTGGGTGTGGTGGCACATGCCTATAATTCCAGCAACTTGGAAGACTGAGGTGGAAGGATTGCCTGAGCCCAGCAGTTCGAGTCTGCAGTGGCTATGAGTATGCCACTGCACTCCAGCCTGGGTGACCGAGTGAGACTCCAACTCAGAAAAACCCAAAACAACAACAACAACAACAAAAACCTATCAAAAAAGTAAAAAGGTCTCATAGAATGGGAGAAAATATTTGGAATGTATATATCTAATAAAAGATTAATAACCAGATTATATAAAATTTTTTAAATAACAAAAAAGGGATAATATATGAACTATTCTGCTACTCCCATTCTCCATTCCAGAGAGAAATTCAAAACAGTTGACATTTCATTCAAGAATTATTTACTGATGCCTTATGTTTCAAGCACTAGAGAAAAAAACACAGTGAAAGAGTCAAAACAGACATAATTCCTGTTTTCAAAAAGCTTACAGCTTACATTAAATCATATAAGCACACAAATATACATACAAGGGGACCCAAGACACCCCGGAATTATCTTTTGGAGGGTGGATCCCTTGTTGTACAGGTTTTACTCATGAGGTAAGTATTCTAGGAACCCATCAGCATTAGTATACCAGCTTGTGTTGTTATGAGAGGATGCATTCAGCTTCCTTGAATTCTTTTTTTTTTGGAAATTCTTTCAATGTGCTTGCTCATTTCAAGATGGGTGCTTTACAAGTGCATCTGCCCACGATAAGTGTTCCGCAGTTTTTGACCAAAAAATGGCATGACCCCTCTACCCCACATTCCCTATTCACCCGATCTCACCCCAAGTGACTTTTGTTTCCCTAGTTGAAAAAAGCCCTCAAAGGAAACCCATGTGGAAGAGGTGAAACAAAGGCAGCAGAAGTACTAATAGGCATCAAGACACCAAAACTGAAGAGTTCAGAAACTTTTTTTTTTGAGTTGGAGTCTCACTGTCTCCAAGGCTGAAGTGGTATGCTCATGGCCACTGCAGCCTCGACCAACTGGGCTCAGATTATCCTTCTGTCTCAGTCTTCCAAGTAGCCGGAACCACAGGCATATGCCATCACACCCGGCTAATTTTTTGATTTATTGTAGAGACAAGGTCTCACCATGTTGCCCAGGCTGGTCTCGAACCCCTGAGCTCAAGCAATATTTTCACCTTCACCTCCCAAAGTGCTAGGATTACAGGCTTGAGCCTCTGGGCCTGGCTAGAAACCATTTTGAGCAGTGGAAAAAGTGTCTCAATAGGTGTATTGCATCAAATGGAGAATACTTTGAAGGTGACTGAAGCCTAAGCATGTAAGAATAAATATATAATTTTTTTTAAGTTGGAGTCTCACTCCATCGCCCAGGCTGGAGTGCAGTGGCATGCTCACAGCCAACCTAGTGTCGACCGGCTGGGCTCAGGCGATCCTTCCGCCACAGCCTTCCAAGTAGACAGAACTACAGGCACATACTACCACGCCCGGCTAATTTTAAAATTTCTATTGTAGAGATGAGGTCTC